TGAGTTGTCAAGCGTTCCTGCAACACCCTAATCTGTTCTGACAGCTACCCCCATGTGCACGCTCCTGCCTCGTGCACATGCACACACACTGAGCTGCACAAAGCTGCACAGACAGTCAATCAATCAGAGTCTTTATGGGACGATAGGTATTGTTGCCATGGAGACTAGTCTAAAGATGGCGGCTGCTTGGGTGGAGATAGTGGCCGTGGTCCAAAACGGTCCGTGGGTCAGTTAACGTCAGGAGTCCTACTTCAAAAGCACTGCAATTAAAGTACTTCCTCTTTTCAATATATTTATATATTTATGGCATAGCTCCTATTTTTGAGCCATAAAGCCCAGCCGTAGTCCTGAACCCACTTCTACTTTTCCAAAAAATGAGAAACTTAACTCAGACGACCTTACTGTCTCTATACATGGTCATAAATAATGACAGTGAAATAGTGCCATCTTCAGACATCAGGCAGCCTCGGATTCTCCTCGTTCCTCCAGTCTTCCTTAACTTAGGTCGAGGTCTCTGTGGAGCACATAGGGCCTGTCTGGTTCCTATTATCCTGAATGTGTGTGGAGTGTGTGTGGAGTGTGTGTGGAGTATATGTGAATGTGGTGTCAAACGCGTGGTGTGAACTTTATGGTCTGGCCTGTGTGTTCCTGCACAGTAAGACAGTATACCTCTACTTAACTGGCAATGTAGACAGTTGACAGTTGAATTTATTTATTATATTTTGACATGTAGGGAATATGCTTTGAAAAATGTTTAATTTTGGAACAGTATAGTTAGTGCTATTACAATATGCTATGTACACATCAGCTTTATACAAAAAAAAAAAAGGTTAAAACTGACACTTATAAGACTGTATTTAATCCACATTGTTTTCGCACCATATTTCACTGAATAGAGTGAAGCAATAAAACAAGAAATATGTACATTTTATATTGCAATGCAACAATAGTAGTTTTGTGTGTCATTGTGTAACATTATGGGTTACATGCTACAATCAGGGCTATGAATCAGTCAATCCTATAACCGTCAGTTATATGCTTGGATGTCTTTTTGAGTATGTGATGTCAGACTTTGGGGGAAAGAAATGTGACTATATTTTATGCTAAATGGCAAGGATTAAAAGCTTGTGTTCCATATAATCCAATCCGCCATAAATCAATACCCTAACCCTGACCCTAACTCGTAATTGTAAAGATAAGAAACAGCAACAGAAACTATATCCTCCTTTAGTTATGCATTTTCATGAAATTCTATATTGTTTTCAGAACTCTAGTGGCACACCATAAAGACACATGTAGATTCCTGCTTGTTGTGTAATGTTTATTATACAAGATCAATGTGAGATGATTACAAAACTGTGACATAAGATTTATATAACTACCTTAATATTGTTATCTCTTGTATCATTCCCAACTTCATCCCAAGCCTGTATCTGCCCGCTAAATTTGCGTGGTGGTACATGCGGGTGTGCTGGTAATGAGTGACAGCTGAGGGAGGAGGAGAGAGAGAAGGAAGGAGGAGGCAGAGGAGGGGACGAGAGGAGAGAAGTGTTCCCCTGTAGTGTGGAGCAGCAGTGCGATCCGTAGTGGACTGTGGACTGGCCTAGGCGTAGACGAGAGAGAGATCTGTGTCTAAAATGCAATTCGGGACAGTTTTGAAGCTATCGTGTTGAATCAACAAACGTAACATGTTTTAGTTTTTTCTTTATTTTGGGAGAATTTTTAAAGCAAGTGGAAGTGAATTGTCAGAGTGGAGGACTTTGGCGCTACCATTCAACTCAACAGACATTGGGGGATTGTACAAGTTCGTAATGATTTTTGGGACTAATAGGACAGCTGAGTATCCTGAATATAAGCTAAGGTAAGGTCGTTTGATATGTTTAATACTGTAAAAAATCTGCTATTTTAAACTAATTTTAAATCAGTATTTGATTTTATGATTTTAAAAATATAATTTGAACTCATTAACTCATTAATTAAAGTGTAGCCACAAATTGGAAGCAGAAAAAAGTGCAAGTAATGCAAGAAAAGGACAAATACAATACAGCAGAGACTGAAATATCATGTTGTATAGTATCCCAAATATATTTACTCTGTTACATTTTATAAAACACAAAGTCCAAATGCTTTAAATAAAAAACTAATTTAAAAAAAGGTATTTGCAAAAAGTTGTAAAAAAGTGTTGGTGAACAAGTAGGAATAAAAAAAAACAAAAAAAACACACAAATAAGAGAAGCTCAATCTCAATGCCCTCAGTAACAATTACGTGGCCTATTCTACTAGTTAAAAAAAAAAAAACTTTAAGAAGAATTTATGTTTGAATCTATAGGAAAATCTCTCCAGCTTCAGACCACACGTGCATGTTTTCCAATGACTCATCTGTGCTGTTTCTTATTACTGTTTTACTTTAAGGGTCAAACTAGGCCCTTGCTCTGTCATCACTGCCATTAACTGATTAATATTATTAGCAGCTAACAGCACAAACATGGCACTGTGTCATTGCCTTAAATAAACCATTGTTATTAGTGCTAATTAGCCTGGGTATCCGCGTGTGTCCCTCTGGAGCAGCCGGGGACGCCAGCTTGTGTTTGAGAGCGGTCAGCCAGGCCAACGGGGTCAAAGGTCACCGATGTGCGTGGCTCAAGTGACACAAATGTTTCTTTTTGGTCATTGTTGTCATGAGGGAGACTGGGCGATGGGATTTTTGTATTTAATTAAAGCAAGTGTTTTACTGTACAGACTACAAGTTGGCGATCCACGAGTGTTCGCTAAATACAGTCGGGGTTCAAAGTCCGTAATGGGGCTTCCTAAAGTTTGTCCTCTCAGTTTATTGCAATGCTTGGGAAATGCTTCTGGGAGATAGTACTTGTGTTTTTCATTATAGAAACTTGTGTACCAATTACAATATCACAACACGTTTTTAAACGATAGATTAGAATATAATTTTTAACTCTATATAGCTATGGAATTACCATATTGTTGTATACTGTAGTTGTCCTCTTTATGTGTCTGTGTTTTGTTTTTTTTTCAATATCAATACTTTTTCAACTTCGAGTATCCAGTTTTGGACTCTAAATTTAATTTCAGTTAATATATGGGTTTGAATGACTACCAGAGAATTTCAGTTATTCAGTTTTATTTTAATAGAGTAGAAATACCATAATTCAAAAATAATTTATAAAAAAAATCACAGTTCATTCTATTACATGTAAAAAAAAAAATATGAAAAACATTTGCAGTGGAGGAAATATGTTGAATCACTGGCTAACAGTCAGGATGTGCTTGGCTGTAAACTGTGATAAAAGCTTAGATCAAAGTGCTTGTATTTTCACCAACTGTGACAAGAAGAGCCAATCTCCATTATGAGTTTTCCTCCTTATGCCGTATGTGTGTGTATGTTACTTGTGGAATGGCGTTTCCCGTGGCTGTGCTGTTGATTTCGTGACTGACAGTCTTGTTAAATTTCAGCAAAGCATGAAACGTGACATGAAAGTGTGTGTGCGTGCTTGTGTGTGTGTGTGTGTGTGTAAAGTGATCCAGGCGAGGGGACCGACTAACCTCAAAAGCCTGAAACATCTAAGTGCTGCTCCTTATTGGCTCTCGGCTGGATCCCCTAATCAGAGCCATACACACAGACCTATGTCCATGTCTTTATGCACACACTTAACTGCTGTCCTACTTTCAAATTGGGACGAACTACACATTATATTGAAAATGTGTTTAAGTTGTGGTTAAATAAATTAATCACTGCTTTACTTGTGGTTCAGGCAGACTTTATATGCTGTGTTAAGTTTTTATTGTGAATTAGTCCTGGTTTATATCTGGTTGATCCTTATCTAGTCCTGTTGAGTCCAGTTTAAATCTGGGTAAGATCTAATTTCATATCATTGCTTTCTTCTTACTCTTTAAGTCTTTTTCTTCTATTTAGTTTTATTTTATCCCATTTATGTGCTGGTGTGGACTTGGTTTGGTCCAGTTCTGATTTAGTCCAGAGTTTCAGATTTAGTGCCTGTTTTGAACCAATTTTGATAAGACTAGTTAAATGTAATATTTTAGTCCCAGTTGCATATTATGACTGCAGCTTCTGATAAAATTTGATGGAACATTTATCTACCTAATACTGGGTCAAACAATGTCAGCCATATTGCAATAATCAACATAATTATTGCACTCAGCCCTCAAAACCCATGACTTGAAAATAGTTGGATTTGGTTGTGCAGATTTGGCGTCCCATCTCGGTCTTTTCCATGTGGGTGTGTGTGTTTGGCACCTTACGCGTGCCCTACACCTCCTCAGTGTTGACACAGTGATTACAGGGCAGCTGGTCCACATTGGCTCGTACCTCGCCCCACAGTTACTGTTCTAATTAGTTCCTGTCCCAAATAAGAGGCAGGAATTTTAATAGAGAACCACTGGTGTGCTGTCTGCAGCTCACACACAGAGCCCCCAAACCTCAGCGCACCCAGGACATCCCACCATGGAAGGATTGTGTTTTTATTATGTTTCTTCTGTTTTAGCGATGAAGGAAAAGTTCCAGTTGCCAGTGATTGACACAACCAAATGCCCCACTCACCCACCAATAGTTTGGCCCGGGTTTAATGCCAACAGTGACCTGTTAAAAGGTGAAGAGTGAGGACCATGACCTTACATGACCCCATGGTGACCTTTGAACTCTTTGTGGCTGGTGGGAGGGGAGCAGAGCTCAGGATGGAGCAGGGTCAAGGGTGAATGAGAGAAAGTTAATATGTGTCACTTAGCTGCAGTTAGCACTTCTGTCACAGCAGTGGCTGCAGCTACTCTCAGCGTGGCCTTATGACTGTTTATATGGGACCTTTAAACACACACACATACACACTTCTGTTGGCTGTGGATACACGTTTGCATACATGTTTCTGTTGGATACACAGATCTTACCTTCTCAGCTAATGTTTTAATGCTTGTGTTATTATTTGCTACAGATAGTTTTAGATAATGAACATGTTTTGTTTCATGTGATGCAGGTAAAGAAATCCCACAGTGACTCTCATGTTCCAGACCCCTCCAGCTCCAGGTGAGTAACAGTGTAAACTCTCATTTTACTTTTTGGTTTGAGAATTGACACATGCTACAAAAAATTATATTATATCTATTTTAATTTAACGCTTTTAACACTGAAATAATTAACTGCCTATTCATTTCTGAATTCATCCAAACTAATGTATGCAGTATCAAAGCTGCATTGAACCCCCTATAGTGCCAACATCATCTGTGATCATTTAAAAAAATCATTTCTTATGTGAGATTTGGGTTTAAAAACCTTGTTGCTCTTCACCACTGACAAGGTATCAATAATAAGCTCTTTATAATTTATTGTAAACAATATGACACATTACAGCAATGTTACATGGATATCAGTTTCACTAAAACTCCTCTTATATGGTTTAGGGAGGTTGTTGTGTGGTCCTAGTTTGAAAGAAAGAGTGTAATGAAGGTCATTTTAATTAAAACTTAAAAGTAAACGAGGCAATTAAAATAGAAAATGGTCAATAACATTTTTTAAAATGATATTTTACGCACTTGTGCCTTAGAGTAAAAAAGTATAGGAAAATAGAAAACAGCAATGCTAGTCTTCCTCAGCTGTGCCTTTTAATAGGATGCAGCATATTTATGAGCAGCCAGCGATAATGTAAAAAACAGGGAAAGGAGTTTATGAAACACCAAGCAAGAAATGGACAAGAGAAGACAGAATCATTTCCTGGTGCTGAAAGACAAAAGGGAAGGACAAATGAGGAGAGCTGGAACCAGAGGAAAATATTGTACAGTGCACTTAAAGCAGTTGTTTCCCCTTCTCATTTATCCTCTTGAAGTTGTATTTAGAGTGTTTCATACATGTTTGAGCAATCTTTAATTGCTTATTTTCAAGTTGCCATATTTCCGGTCAACCTTCACTGCCACGAGCACACACCCACTGCTCTGTACTTTGTGCTCCATTTTTATTTTCGCACTTGTGATACATGTAGGATTCAGCAGCATTGCATATGCATTTTGGTGAAAATTTATTTTAAGGTTGTTTGACTTGGTACAGTAACTATGTCCTAAAACAGTACTATGCAGAAAGTCACAGTAGTAAAAAATGTCCAAAGACCACCCAAAATAGAATGTCTGCAAGTGCATTGATCCCATCTTGCTATGATAAACTTTAAATAATGACCAGTGTTACCCAAACATAAAAACTTAAACTTAAAATCATTTGTCACACCTCGCTAATGTTTGGCACAGTGTGATAAAAGAGACATTACTGTTGTTACTCTGAATAGCAAAGGGAAGCATATTGAGTGTTTAGCTGTAAATAGAGAATGGTTTTGACAGAGGCCGTTGATGCTGAGTATTTATCTTTTGGCAGGCTCTTGCGCAGGCACTTTATCCAGTTGAAAGCCATATGTTTATACCTGTCAGTCTGCCTGTGGGTTCCAGTCATGTGTGATGCTAGCAGCCCGTAGCGCTGGTGTGGCCCAGATCCAGACCACGACACAGATGTACAAGCAGACAAAGTAAACACAGGGAGAACAGCAGCCCGCATTTAGTTAGCTCTCACTGCATCTCATTGTGAGCTTTGAAGCAGCCCACAAGAGCACAAGTGTGACCCACCAGAGGGAATATAGCAGGATAAGGAAATATAATGTTAATATAACAATAAATAAAAATTTAAGACTAGAAAATTAGGCAGGTGAGACCAGGGTAAATATGTAAATATATTCAGCCAAATGGGGAAAACCCTACATCTCCATCTCCTGCTCCTAATGTGCTCTAAATGTAGCTGAGTCTTTATGAACTTCCTCTCACACAGACTACATTCCCACCTCATGTGCGGCCTGGTCCACTTGCATGTGGAACACATTGTAAAAGTAAAGCATGCTGGAAGGCTGTGGGTTTGTGTTGGAGCCCATACACACCCCCTCACTCTATAAAGAGCCTGTGGCCCGCTGACTATGTCCTGCACACATGCTGGAGTAGGCTAAGGCTGCTGGGACATGTGGGTTTATGACGACTGTGAAGTGATAGTGTCAGAAATTTACTCACCTCCAGGTTCACCTAGTCTTAAGTTTCTAAACACACTGTGTGTTTTTGCAGGTCTATGGAAATGCAGGAGCTAACACGTCCTCACAACTGTTTAGGAGTTGGGGACTCAACAGGCTCCAAGCTAGACAAGGACAGTCTGGGTAGCCCCTCCATCACCACCAATGGCACAGGGGGTGAGTGCAGATGCCACAGTGAAATCCTATAACACAAATCTAAGCTGTTACACTGAAACTTCCAGTTCCAGAATTTCCCAAAAACTCCACAAAATGTGTTTCATATCAAATATATATACATCTAAATAAAGAGCTTATGAGACAAACGTAGAAGGGCACAGACCAATGCATGCACAGACATTAACTCCACCACATCAGACTGTGTGTAAACAGACTGAAGGCCTCTCTGGCAGCCTGTGCTGTGTAGTAGAGTATTTATTTGAGCACAAGCCCAAAGTCCCACTGGAAACTATTTCCTCGACAAGAGCATTAAAGCATCAACGCTCTTTTACATGTCAGCAACACTGAACCTCTCTCTCTCTCTTGCACTCTCTCTCTCTCTCACTCTCTCTCTCGTTTTCCTCTTTTCATTCACCTCTGACCCTGTCTTATTCTCTTTTAGTCCTTTTCACTCCAATTGTTTTTGACAAGACAGCTTGATGTAATACCACTCACTTTAAGTGTGTAAGTTCAGGGCGATGCTTTGATCTATCGGTCCTTTAACTTGCCATTAAAAACACTTTTATTAGTCCTTTTGGAAAGTTTGATGTGACATGCTGTGGCTGCTGTGTTCAGACCGTATCAGACCACATGTAATCATCTCTGATGAGCTCATGGTTAATGGCTTATGCAGAGTGCAGCAGGGACTACATTCTGCAGCCAAAACAAACTGCATACCCAGCATTCTCGTCACCTGACATCAGTCAGTGCCATGGCAACTCATCTATCCTCATCACAAATTGTTTGAGGGTCTGCGTAGCCCCCTGTGGAGATTAAGTTGTAAAAGTAATTCTCAGATCATCTGGTGATAACATTTAATCTGTTGGTTTAAAGATGTGGATAATCACGCAAAATCAAGAAGAACGACCTGTATAGTGAAGCCAAAGCATTATAAAATCCTAATCATTCAACAGTGACTTTGGCCTGTGGCTCTCAGTGAGTGATGTCCTGATCGTCTTCCGCCCTCTAGGTGAAAACATGACAGTGTTAAACACGGCTGATTGGCTGTTGGGCTGCAGCAGCCCGCCCCCCGCCTCAGGCTCCAAGGACTATGGTACAGAAGGTGCATGTGTGTGAATGAACTCAAAAGAGTGGTTTCTGTCCCCACAGCTCGCCATAGACCTGCTGTTGTTTTTTTTTGGAAATGCTGTGCTTTTTGTTTGTTGTGTGGTGGTGTTTGCTTTTGAAATAATTTTATTTGTAATGCAATATAGATACGTTTTACTTGCAGGTTAAACATTTTTCTTTATTTTTGGGGGTTATATGAGATATATAAAAGTCTCACTATCTCATGGTAAAAGCAGTGGTAATGCATACATTAAGGCAATACATTAATTGTATATAATTAATTGGACAATAAGTATTTTTATAAACCCCATTAGTGCAAATATATGAATATTTATATGGAATATTTCTGATACTGTAAATGAGTTGAATCTTATATAATCCTTACAAACTTGCTCTGAAAATAGAATCTGGACCTGCATGTTTCAATTTTTGAATTGTCTATATATATATATATATATATATATATATATATATATATATATATATATATATATATATATATATATATATATTTATATATTATTTATTATTTATAAGATGTCTTGTATTATCAGTATATTGTGCCTCAAGTATATTGTGCTGTTTAATTCTTATTTCAGTCAAAACTGAGCCGATGAACAACAGTGACACAGTGACCACGTCAGGAGACACAGTCCTGGACACGTACTCAGGTGCTTCACACTAAACACACTGAACACAGAACCTTTCTGTGAGAGCGGCTGCTGAGAGCTCTAAGCCCATGAAGAATGGCCTGTCCTGAAGTGGCCCCATCACAGAACACAGCCTTGTTTATGGGTGTCTTTATAAAGCATTACCCTGACCTATGCCTGATGGGACACAGGGTTTAAAACCAGCAGGGAGCATGTCATTTCTGCATTTGACGTCTCAATGACCACACATCAACACAGCACCTCTGCAGGGACCCTCTCACTACACAAGTGTTATTACAATGGAACAGTATATTTGGTTTCTACCCCATACAGCCATAAATTTCACTATTTAAGACTTTTTTATGAAATCTGAAGAATTTGTTTCTGACCAGAGTTTGTGTTTGCAGTCATCACCAGCAGCTACAGCCCTCGATCAAGCCACCAGTACTCTCCACCTCTCTATCCGTCCAAGTGAGTTTCTTCTTTGTAACAATATAAAAATGTTTTGCTACTTGTAACATAGTGTAGGGAATCAGATTTGGTCTTAATTTTATGGCAAATATTAGACTTAGACTTAGACAAACTTTATTGATCCACAAGGGAAATTATTAGGACACAGTCACACATCACAATAAATATAATAACAAAAAGCAAAATAAATTCAAAATAAGAAGCAAAAATAGCAAATGACTGATGTTAAATAAGGCATAATTATTGTGTATCTACAAGAAAATAAAAAATACAGAAATATAGTAAATATATCAGGACCATATTCAAGAGATTGTAAGGAGAAACAGTGCAAAGATTAAACAGTGATTGACATAGGGTTATCTATTAATTTGAATCATAGAGATTTTTTGTGGTAAAATGTGTGCAAGTATTAAACATTTATATAAAAGAGCACACAGTAAACATAATTTGAAGATTTATATAAATACTTTGCATTATCTATTTATTCATAGAAATTGAAAAAACAACTGTGAGCAAATCTATCTTGCTATATTATCTGTTAGAAGTCTTGCATACCAGCATGGAAGCTCATCTTGTTCTCTTCATTGCAGGCCATACCCTCACATCCTCTCCACCCCCACAGCTCCTCCAATGCCATCCTACCCTGGCCAACCCCAGTTCAGCAACATGCAGCAATCCACTGTCTACACAACCTACCCTCAGACAGGACAGCCATACGGTCTGTCCACATACGGTAAGGCCCCATACCAATGTAAAGACACTGTTCAATGCTTTAGTATAAATGTCCTACAAAACTTGTTCAGATCTGATGTTGCCGGGTATAAAAACAGAGAGTGGCCTGTCACAGAGCCAGTCACCCCTCCAGACAGGCCTCAGCTACAGCCCTGGGTTCACTACACCTCAGCCGGGACAGACTGCCTACTCCCCCTATCAGATGCCAGGTCTGTAATCATTTGTGTGTCATAAATTCTTATTGAAGAAAAATAAATGACATGGCAATCAAAAAATAGTGTTGGTGAGTTTATTCCCATAAATGCACAAAATTGGGAAAAAACAGCAAAAACACAGAACTGTCCTTGAGTAGCTGTGGAGCTGGTGCCTGCGTTACACACAGCTCTTCCCCTTAACACACACTTCCTCTGTGGTGGTGGGAGGCACCTTTTATCGTATGAGGCCCCTCCCCCAAATCAATTTTTGGCGACATCCAGAGGAGAATTTGCAACTCCAAACAACCCACTTCTGTTTACTGTCTAAACCTATAAACAGTCATAGAAGATACATCTAAACTGATTTTACTTATTATCCACTATGGAAAATGAGTGCAGCTTATTTGTCTACCTTTTTTTTTTTTTTTTTTTTATGTTAGGGCTAAAATGTATTTATTTATTCTCTTTCTCTCTCTCTCTTTCATTTTCACTATATATATATATATATATATATATATATATATATATATATATATATATATATATATATATATATATATAGTTGAAGCATTCTTACTTTATCCTTAACACTCACCATTTTTAGTCAGAACATATGGCAATGTTTAAACCTCTAACTACATCTGATCTTACTGTCTGCCATAGTTTTACTCAACTTATTAAACTAAAATGGCACTTGGTGGTACGTGGCATGATAAGTGTATACTGTAACTATATAGCGCTGGCATCAGTCTTCTGTTTTGATCTTGTTCTATCTTCCTTTCTTCATTAGAGGAAAACTTGTAAATATGTCCGCAAGTACAACTACAATTTATTTATATATATAAAAAGTATATTTTGTTTCCTTTAGGTTCCAGTTTTACTCCGTCCTCAGGCCTCTACACAACTAATAACTCCAACCCCGCCAACTACACTGCCACACAGCAGGTACGGTTACACAAGCTGCACAGGAATAAATAGGAACAAATAGGTTTATGGTGGAAGTTGGATTTTAGTGTTCTGATCGGTGTTTGCAACATTGACTGTAAAATTGGGCCATTGTGGAATATATTTTGAAATGAAAGAATTAAAAGTGACATTTTAGTAAATCCTTTGTCAATGCATGTTATATATTACAAAGTCTGCATTCATGGTATTGCTATTTTATAAGGGCTTATAGTAGAATAGTGACAGGTTTAAAGATCCAACTCATAAAAGTGTCTATCTCCAGTGGGCCAGTAAAACTAGCAACACAAGGATTTAATTGTCCTTGAGAAAAGAGGGAATAAAAGATAAAAAGGTCAAAAGGGAAAATCAAAGCAAATCTCTCACTTTTTTTCCTGTTTTTTATTTTATTTTATGCATAATATTTTATGTTCTGTTGCTTGGTCTCTCCAGGACTATCCCTCATATACAGCGTTTGGCCAAAACCAATATGCCCAGTATTATTCCCCCTCCACTTACGGATATATACCCTCCAACAGCGTGGATGGAACAGGGTCAACCACAGCCTACCAGCTACAAGACCCCTCTCCTGCCATGACAGGACAAGCAGCTGAACTCCATCCAGGTCTGTAGAGACATTTACATAATACTAATGCAATGATTTTTAACCACTTTGAGGAAAAATACTACTAATAACAATAATCATAATCATAACATAAAAGTATATTTAAAAATACAGCCACAGAAATAAAATTAATCTGGCTTTATAATATAGGCTTAAATAGAAATAATCATGGACACACATATTGGTCCAAAATGTAATCTTCCATAATAGTTGCATTAATATATCACTGGGCATACATTACTTTCATATACTACATTACCAGTCAAAAGTTTGGATACACTTTTTAATTTTATTTTTTTCCCATGATTATTTACATTAATTCTCACTGAAGGCATCAAAAACATAAATGTGAATATCTGGAATGTAACAAACAAAAATCACTGTGAGGATATGAATATAAAATATAAAAAAATATATATTTAGCTAATATTTAGTTTAGTTAAGTTATATATTTTTTCCATATATCTTGCTTCATATATCTTATGTCTTCCATGTGCATATAAAATGTAGAAAGTAGTAAAGATAGAGAAACAAAAATGAAAAGGATGTGTCTTTTGACTTTTGACTGGTAGTATACATCTGTCTATTTTGCTCTAAGAAGCATAAGTAACATACCCACAACTTTAAAGCATACATTTTAGTTCTCAACTTATAGCTTGATAACTGAACCTTATAATAATTTCATTTGCACTTTCTCGCTCTCTCTGTCACCCCATTTTGACTTAGCCACCTCTGCGTGTTTTCGTCTTCATCCACCCCCTTGTTCACCCCGTAACTCTCTCTCTGATTGAGACGTAACAAAATGGGAGGCGAAGCACTTTGGGTCTGGTTCTAGTTATGAAGTAGCAGCAGAAGCATGTGGCATTGACTGGGATACTAAGAAATGGACACAAATGTGAATATTGTAAATAACGTTATGCATAGTTTAGAATTACATTTTCTACTAGTCTTATTTATAGCACTCCCAACCATGGCCTTAAATCTTCACGGTATAGGTGAGGTGGGGGATTTGAACATGATCTGTCTTGCCAATTACTTTGAGTTATTAAACCTGACAACATGGCTATAGCTGCTCAACTTTGACTTATGACTTTTCTCTAAGTGGATACAAGGCCGCAGCACCTGTGGGATACGTGCAGGCCACATCATTACTGTTACTGTTGCCCCAATGTTGTAAATATGCTACAGTTTGTGAATGGCTATACTGTTCAAGGCTGATATTTGATCATTTGTAAATTTTGAAAATGTTTGGTTTTCTGTTTGTGTGCGATCCTAGGGGATTTTGACACAGTGCAGAGCCCCTCCACACCCATCAAAGAGCTGGACGATCGAGCGTGCCGGAGTGGGGGGTCCAAGTCGCGGGGCCGGGGTCGCAAAAATAACCCCTCCCCTCCCCCTGATAGTGATCTGGAGGTAACAGTGCAAAACATGGGATACTGCCAACAATCATAAAGATACACATAAACTATCCAGTTTAATTTCTGCCTTATATTTAAAACTTTATTTTTTCAACAGAGAGTTTTTGTGTGGGACTTGGATGAGACGATTATTGTCTTCCATTCATTACTCACAGGATCCTATGCACAAAAATATGGGAAGGTAAGCTTCAACATCTGTATGCTATGATCATTTTTTGTATTGTATTTTACATTGTGACTAAATCCACTCACACCACGTTTAAAACAATGTGTCTTTTTGTTCAGATAAATTGTGGAAATTGCAATATAAAATTACTTTTAGTGCAAAATATATGCCAAATCACTGCATGAAAAGAATTGAACTTATACAATGTTTCTGTCATTTCAAATCTTCAGCTCTAAAAATTGTATCCAGAAATCTTTAAAAAAAAATATTTCATACTACATATTTGGATTTTTTGCAGTCACCAACTCACACTAACTTCACTTCTGTCAGTCTCTTTTACACCATTTGTCAGTGCTCCTCTTAGTTATTGTGATGTAATTCATCATAAAAAAATATTATGAAGCTAATATAAATGTAATGTAAGTGTCTTCGATGTCACTACAGTGTCATGTAATCATCATTTCTTTCATAATTCAATTTCAGCCTTACACAAATCGTATTTGGTGGTCTCTCGTCTTCTCTAACATAGCAGCTCCACTGTTTATAGTTGCCTTAATTTTTACAGCTCTTGGCTCTGATCTGGCTCACCCTATGTGGTCATAATTTTATTGGGTGACGTTGTTTCCTGAAGCCACAAGTTGGTTTGAACTTGGTGTCTTTTGTTGTCCACATATCTCATTTGACAAAGGCTAGAAATAGATTTAGCCTACAGTTATAATGGTATAAGCTGTATGCCTGAGAATGAAAATAGGACATGTTGCTTCATTTAAGTTTCGGAAGTAGATTTTAATGGGTTAGGCCCGGGAGAGTTGTAAATGTGTGTTTGAGTGTGAGACAAGCTGCACCTCTGAGGCTGGCTGAGTTTACGCTGCAGTTAATGTACCAAAGCCCAAAGATGAGGTCACTGATTGAAAAAGTGCAGATTTGACTGATGCATGATTAATAACATGACAAATTACCATTGAAGAGTGATAAGATCTTTGTCATAACTTTGAAGAATATTCATTAATCATGGTAAAAGTGTTTTTTCTCTCATTTGCTACTGACCTCAAGACATATAGTGGCAACTGTGTCTGTTCACACCTCGCTCAAAATAGTGTTTTCACTGTTGACATAGCAACCACCAGGTCGATACCCTCATATATAAAGCATTTAGGTACAATTTTGGTTTGTATTTGGATTATTGCTGTACTGCTGTATGCACAAATCCAAACTAGTTATTAATTTTTAGTCAATTGCATTATTTTTCAGAAGCAGCAGACATATGGAGATTGAAAACTGGAGCTATGGCTATGTGACTGAGGTGTTGTGGTTGATTTAATTTACTAGATAAATAAAAGGCTTTCTGTGACTTGGAGTGCAGCCAGATTCTGCTACTCAAGGGAAATGATCATTTTCAGTTTTGACTGTTTTGACAACTCTAGCTCTGTCATGGCTTTGGGCCAACTTAATAATTACTCGAAAGACAATCTCAAACGCCTCTTGTCTCAAAACAATAAAAGTGAATGAGTTTACAGCTGCTGACAGTGTCAGACGCGCTCTCTTTTCACTTTCGCACTCTCCCCGTCTCCCCTCACTCACCCTCTTTCTCCTCCTCTCCCACACTCTCCCCTTACCCCGCTTTTCCTACACTCTCCCCCTCTTTCCTTTCACCCCCTTCTCTCACACTCTCTCCCTGTTTCCCCTCACCCCCTCTCCAACACTCCCTCTCTCCTCAGTCCTTCCTGTAGCTGCAGTCTATTCTGGTCGTCTGACAGTGTCAGCGAATCGCGCAGTGAGCTGTCGACCCTCGCTGACCTATCACAGATGATGTTTTTTGCAGCTGAGCTTGGACTGGCAGTGCAATGTGCTCCCTTTAAACCATTCACATGCCACATAGGCTTTACCTTGTTTATGTAAAGACAGTGTCCCACGGCACGTACCCTACAGGCCCAAGGAATGATGATGGGACAGAGCAAGTGTAACCTGCCTGTCAGCATCTGTGTGGAGAAATGTGACATCCCAGAATGGCTGGGGTTGGGACAGAGGAATCAGGCCATAGTAGTAAAGCACCTAATAGTTTAAACTAAATTTAGTGAATAAGATGACGGTATGAGATATGTGGATGTAGGCCGGGTCACTGACCTGAACGCTGTCTCTCTAGGACCCTCCCATGGCTGTGACTCTGGGCCTCAGGATGGAGGAAATGATCTTCAACCTGGCAGACACTCACCTATTCTTCAACGACTTAGAGGTAGGCCTTATTCATCAAAAACCAAACATTTTGTACAGGCTTCATGTTATTTTAATTTGGACTTGAACTTAGTTTCATAGAGCTGTCCACAGCTAACATGCTACCACTGCCCTCTAGTGGTAATAAAATCAGTACTACACCTCTAGGATGGGCTTGATATTTCTGTTGTGTCTTATTCAGGAGTGTGATCAGGTTCATATTGATGATGTATCATCTGATGACAATGGTCAAGATTTGAGGTGAGAATATTTTTTGTAAAAGTATGTAATTGGGTAAATTAATGCACTTATTAGTTGTACTATATCCACTGCATTTAAATGTTATTTCAATTAACATGAATTGTACACTGTATTAAAGTAGATATAAATATGAATCTACAAATATTGTAATGTCTGACCAGAGCAGATTTTTCAAATAAAACATATCATTATTATTGACAGTACTTACAGTTTTGCAACTGATGGCTTCCATGCAGCTGCAACCAGCGCTAACCTGTGCCTGGCTACGGGCGTGCGCGGTGGTGTCGACTGGATGAGGAAACTGGCCTTTCGCTACCGCCGCGTCAAAGAGCTGTATAGCACATACAAAAACAATGTGGGGGGTAAGGCACTGCTCATCATGGGTCTGCTACATGTGTGACTGAAGCAATGTCATTTCACTGGGCAAACAACCTCTTAATTGAACTGAATGTCATGGAGAAATTCTTCAGTAGTATTCTAAAGGTAGTATTCTAATAATGAAATCATATGAGAATATGAATCTTTTTCACAGCATTCAGCCCTACAGTATACAGCTTTAGGTATAAAATGGTTTAAATACCTAAATATATTCACTTTACCATATCATGACATTTATTGATCTGAAATGTACGACATGTTGCGTGTTTCACATTGTCAGGTTTAATCAGTGCTTTTGCATGTTGTAGGCCTTTTGGGTCCAGCGAAGAGAGATGCCTGGCTGCAGCTCCGGGCAGAGGTGGAGGCTCTGACCGACTCCTGGCTCACACATGCACTCAAGTCTCTGTCCATCATCAGCTCCAGGTAACACACACATTATGATTCATTATATTATTTCATGTTCTTAGGTTAAAATAATCACTCTTTTATTTGATCCTAGGAGTAATTGTGTAAATGTGTTGGTGACGACAACGCAGCTCATCCCAGCTCTGGCTAAAGTCCTGTTATATAGTCTCGGCTCTGTGTTTCCTATTGAAAACATATACAGTGCAACAAAAATAGGTAAGAAACGCATAGACACAACAGCCGCTTCACTAAATACTAGAAGTGGAGACTTGAAGGCAGGGACAGACTGGGACCAAAAAAACAGCCCCTGACTTTTCCCCCACAAATAGGCCTACGATGGGAGGGACATGTGTTGAAACTAACGAGAAAGCCCCCCCCCCACTAATACCACCACCACAATAACAGCAATAATAGCCTGCTGTGAAACTGTTTTGTTAAACGTCTCACAATAATTTTGAGGGTTGTCACAATTAATTGGATTACAAGCTCCTGTGCTCAAGTGCAATGCTTTGTTGCAGCACAAATTAAAAACTGAGGTAACTACATTGACCATAATTCTTTCTTGCTCCATTTCAGTGCAGATTAGATGACGAAATAACTGTTAAACACCTTCAATCTTAATTCTATGTATTAGCACAATGTCAAGGCATTTAAAAAAGAAAAAGCAGCATATCCACAATTTTGTTTAGTTTAAACATAATTTAAGCATATAATTTGCAAAAGAAAAGTAACTGTATTCAGTATTTTGGTTTAAAAACCTGAAATGACTTGAAGCTTAAAGCAAAACTTGACTCAAGGCTTGACTTGGATTTGAGGACTTACTTGCACAACAAGAACTAAATAGTGCATGAAATATCTTGGCATTTTTACACATAATAATTGTGTGGAGCTAAAGGCTAATCTAAATATCATTACACCAATAGAACTCAACAAAATTATTTCTAACATTGAGTCAAAATTGTCAATACTTGCCCATGGCACCACTAGAATTATTAGTACTATTGCTAATACAACTACTGCTACTACCATCACTACCACTACTATCACTACTATGAATTGCTATGTCAAATGTTATACAACTAAATTACATCAAGCCTGGTATTACTTGCATTTGCAATACTTCAAGTCACTTCAGTAAAAGTATCTATTAGGACCTTTGTTTGTATCAAGTTATATTTTTTACAGAATTGTATATCTGATTGTATAGTTACTATATATTACAATTGGCATGTCTATTACTAGTATTTAGTTAATATCTACTCACCCTTACGCCATTGTGAATAAGCCTTAAATAAAACTGACACTTCTGCAGGTCTGGACCCCCACAATTTGCGCGGATTTCATTATCAGCAGGTTACAAAATACTGGTACTGTGTCCAAATTCAAATTAACTCATCATTACACAACAGAAAACCCTGAAACTCAAGCCAAATGTCACTGTTTCTTGTTTAACTACACTTCACATCATTTACGTCATGCAACAATGCTGTAACCATGATGTCCATATAGCAGTGGGTCCGTGTGCACACTGACCTGTTGCCCGTAACTTGCTCTGTACAAAAATGTGTAAAAAATTGAAAATGGGCCACAGTTGTTTCATTACCTTAACATCACTTTTTTTTTTTTCATGAAAACAGTCCAAAACAGTTCCAAAACCATGTATAGCAGACTTTGATTATGAAGAAATGTACCTTTCTTAAAAAAAATACAAATACAAATCTGGGTTGTACAGTAAAGGACTTTATATATGGGCATAAATTGCATCTAATCAAATAAAAAGCTGTGAAAGCCATGTGTTTGTCTCTAGGCAAAGAGAGCTGTTTTGAGCGTATAGTCTCCCGCTTTGGCACTAACATTACATATGTTGTGATTGGCGATGGGAAGGATGAAGAGCATGCCGCCAGCCAGGTAAACAATCACTCTTAACCCCTCTGACCTGTACCCCTCCTGTTTATTTTTGTTGCAGGAAAAGAGAGTTGCTTTGAGCGCATAATGCAAAGGTTTGGCAGGAAAGTAGTGTATGTTGTAATTGGGGACGGTGTGGAAGAGGAGCAGGCGGCCAAAAAGGTAACCTCATCGTGACCCCGCCTACCCCGAGCAGCGTGAGCTCTGATTGGAAGAGGCCTGCCTTGGTGTGCTCTAGTAGATGTTTTGCCCTGGTTATTTGATTCTTTCTGTTCTGCTATTGTGGATTTTCAGACTTTTACTTGCAAAGTTATTAAAAGTTGGGAATTTTCAGCTTATTCTTGAAATGCTTGTGTTCGCCACAGATGTAATTATTGTCATGGTTGACAATAATGTCAATGCAGAATTCTGCTTTGTTGTTCAAAGCAGCTTGCTTGTTGTTTGGGTTTGATTGGTCTTCTATGCTTACAAAGGTGACAAATTAAAAGTTGGGGCAATATTTACCATAAAAACAGAACGCAATGGCCTGCAACTTAAAATATAAACAAAACAAATAAATGATTATAGATATATAGCTTATTAATCATGTATGTATAGCAATTTACTCTAATGTGTGCTTTCTCAGATTTGGAAAACCTGATGCTTTATTATGGTTTAAAGATCTTGGAAAAATTGTAAACCAGTGCATTCTGTTTAATTAATATTTTTCCATAGAGCATTCAGCAATGTGACATATTTCATATTTAAATGTGTCCTTCTCTTCTCTTTGGGTTCATTCATTCATGGTGCTGGGAATTTAAAAAATAAAATGCATGTACTATGTTTGCAGTGTTTTAGAAAGGCAAGTTACAAGCTACATTAGTGTAGCTTGCATGACCTGAGATGATGGTGTGAATAGGATTGCCCAGGATAACTCTACGTAGCATATAAGGTTTACTAATGTGTGTCTCCTCTCTCTACAGCACAACATGCCTTTCTGGAGGATATCCAGTCACTCTGACCTGCTGGCATTACACCAAGCACTGGAGTTCGAGTACCTGTAACTAATACTGCAATATGGACTTAAAATACTATGGACATGGTCAGCCAGGCAGCCCCTTCTTTTGTATAACTATTTAAGAACAAATACACTGCAAATGTTTTTGTGATTTTTTTTTTTTTTTGAACATCTGGATTTACAAACTGAATGGTCTTAAGATGTATATGGGAAAAGAAGAAACAGGAGCAGCTTGCAGAAGTGAAAGAGAACTACAGCAAGCCGGGATGGACAAAACCCAAAATGTTGCTTTGTGAGCCTTTTCCAAGATGTGGACAGTCAGGATTAAGTGTCTGGATGTGCACAGAAAATGCCTGGACGTGCACAGAAACTGCAGCTGCGTTTACTTTGAAGTGTTTCTCTGGTCATATGATAATCACATAAATGCAATATGGGAAAACTTGTGTAAATTATTTACAATAAACTTAAGGGCAGCAATTGGGTGTTTTTCATTTTAAGAGTCTAACTTTGGGGTCTTTAATTTTATGATTTTTGTAAGGATTTTTTTTTTTTGAAAGTTGAGAATGTGAGTCATGATGTGTTGTGCCTTAATTATTTGGATGTCTTCTTTCAGAAATGTATGTATGTAGGATATAAAGGATTAACTGTTTTAAATGTCTGTTTTCTTTCTTTCACCGTTTTGATGACTTGAGAGGTGGAGTTTAGTGCTTCAAGCCAGTACCATCAAGTTGAAAAGTGCTTCTAGATGCATTGAAACAGTTTCAAAATGACCCAACACTGATTAAAATGGATAAAGACTTGGAAGTAATTGGCTGCCAGTGACTCGGACTTGACTTTGAGCCTTGTGACTTGTAAAATACTGCATGTAAAAAAAAAATAATAATAATAATTAAAGGAACAAAGTAATATATTCTACAACTTTCTCCATTTTTGACCAAAGACTTGTTTTAAATAGAGGCTCCATTACCAGGTTAACCTTTTAATCTTCCACACTGGATAAACTACGATTTTGTTATAATAAAAACTGTAGTTAAGGGGCATCTACGTGTATTAGGCAGTGAGGCACCCTTACCACCTTTATTATTCTGTGAACGTCTTAAGTCAGAAAACATGACCAGATAACAAATGCTCACCTCACAGAACCTTAAAATCATTTTCCCTTTCACACTAAACAAAGATTATATTCTGTTGGCAATAATAACTTTGTATCAGTCATCTTAAACACTTTAAATATGTGTAAATTAAACTATGACAAAATTTGTTTTTCAACATTTTATTGCCAATTTACTTCTTGGATTTGAAGTATTCCTCGATGACATCCTTGGCTTGAGACTCTTTGCCATAGTCCTGTAAGGAAAACACCTGGTCAGATTCTGTAGTTTTATTTTGAAATGCTATACAAGGCGATACACTTCCTCCAAAATTAAGCTCTTATAGAAGGGCACTGTAGCCATTCTTAGGGACCCTAGACACCACAGGCAGACGACAGGGCTCGTACCCTGGCAATGATGTAGCCAGTTATTAAAACAGTTGCTTCACACACAGCAAAGCAGCTGCACTTGACTGGCATCTAATCCCAAAACCACAAATGTACAAGTGTATTATCATTACCTTCACAACCACACAGCTGCAGCCCACTACTTTGCGGGGTTTGCCCTCACGGTCAATCTTGCAAAGCCCAACCCACTCACCAAGCTTCTTGTTATCATCAACCTAAAATAAAATAGGCATTTAGACATTTGTATTTCAAGTTACACATTATGGCAAAACCACTGATATTCATTTAAATATAAGCACAGGCTGCATCTCAGACAGAAATTGGGTAACAAAGGCAATCTCCTCACAATATTCAGTAGAGGGAGCCAAATTATCATCACAGATACAGCAGCAAGACAAGGACAAGTAATGAGACTGGTCATTTTAGACTATAGAAAACATTCACTACAATCAAACTTTAAAGACAAAGTGTGAAACCAATTTCAACAGTCTATATAGCCCTTTAAAGCCTACTTAAGAGTGAGGATGCCTGTTGTTTTATGCATTTGTACCTTGATCAGGTTGATCTGATGCTCGGCGCAGAGGGCCTCCACCAGCTTCACATACATGGGCTCATCGCAGTTAGCGGCAAGGACACACAGATGAGCCTGGCGTCTACAAGAGAAATGTCACACTTAAGAAAAATTTGCTGTACTGGCATACTCAACATAAACCAAAGTCCAAATCTCAGACTGAAATTGGGTAACAATGGCAGATTTCCTCATGGAATTCAGTAGAGGGAGCCAAATTATCATCAGTGACTATTTTTGCTGAAATTTATAAACTAAATTCTCAGGCTACATACTTATCCAGGGCCTTGGCAGCCTCACGGATCCCACGAGCCAGGCCATCGTGGATGAGTGCGGTCTTGAGCACTTCAGGCAGAGCCGTGTTGACATCCATCACACCTCCAGCAGCAATGCTACAGACAACAAACATAGTGCCGTGCATTAGTTACACTAAACGTAAAACCTGGTTTAATTCTACAAGTTTAATTTCCAGCGTGTCAGAAAGTGCGTCTCACTCATAGAAGAGTGAAGGGGTATCCGACAAAAGAACTCAAATCATCACTGACGCCAGATAAGCAAAGTAAACTCCTGCATGTGGACATAAGCAACATTATAGCTACTCAATTTGCATTTTGTACATAAAACGCAAGCCTCTGCGTTACTCACTAAAGATAAGACAATTCTGCACAATATATAGCATTAAACGCGTGTGGTTTGTACGACGCATATAAACATGGCAAAGCTGAGATGTACAAACTACTAGATCAGTTCCCGGCTAAAAAGAATCTCAGAAAGAATCACGCATTGCACAATATATATATTCTGAGGAAAACATTTAATCGCGATACCATTTCAAACAAAATCTTACTTATCCATGTGCAAAACTGACGCTTTTGGAACGACGTAGAGGGACACTTACCCTTCCTCGGCCATTGTAGATTACGGATGGATGTAGGACTTAAAGTTCTGCAATACATAACAAATAAATGTGAGGGGTTAATACTGTTCTTATATGTCAGTTTTATAGACATTTTAAAGGCGTGATGGTTGTTTAAATCCACAGATTGTACAAGTAAAACTGAAAACACACCCGTTCCTCCACTCGGTCAGCGGGTAAAGAGGACGTCAAACGTGCGCGACATTGCTTTATTTGCTTGAAAGGACCCACGCACGCGTGATAGGTGTCCTTATGTTTGCCTGTAATTCTAGCGGGACGTATTTAGCATATTTTCAACCAGATTTACATTTTAGTCTATATATCTATCCAATGATTTTGTTCACCATAGATTTAAGATTGTTGCAAGTTCTTGTTCTTTTTATGAAGATATAGAAACCTTTTATTTTACTGTAAACCTGTACATACAAAATTGGGACAATATTTATAAATGGCTCTCCTACAATCTCCCAGACGTGACTCCAGTGGACATACAGACTCTGGACATCATAATTTTGGCTGCACAAATGGCAAAAAAATATATTCTAAACATTACCCTAGGAATATTGTATATTCACAATTGCAAATAGACTGAAAGCACCATTTTTTTTCTGTTTTGTGAAGTCCTTGAGATGATGAATTATTTTAGTGCAGTTAAATCACTTTCTTTTATTGACTGATGCAATTTATATAAGAAGCCTTATGTTTTCACCAGTTTTCCCTTCTCATTTGTCTAACTTATACATAATTTTAAAAAAATGTATTAATATGTGTATACATATTGTATTTATTGATAATACTCAGTGTTTGAACTGTGTTTTTAGCTGATTAGGTTTATGACTTTTCAGGAAAAGAAAAAAATGGGATAGACAATCTATATATATATGTAACCAGAGCAAGATTAGTTAAGTTTCAAAAATGGTTCTTTGGAAATACAAGTTTGGAGCAAACAGCATGAGAACAAGAGGGGGTGTTAGATTTGTGTTCTCATATTATTTTATTCTAACTTTATTATGCACTTTATTTTGTACTGTGAATGTTTTTTTTTACTTCCTGTTGAGTTCACTTCCGCTGTCTTGTTGGATAAAAACGCGGGATCTTGCTGCTGTTATTTTTTTATGTCGCATATGTTAAAATAAAGACACAAAGAAGACAAAACGTATCTTTGCCTGATTCAAGCATGTCCGAGCAGCAAAATAATCTAACAAGCGCAACACAGACTTAAAAATATAGCGATAAAACTCTTGAAACAGCGAAAAAGCACATGGGCTTCACTGCAAAGATGTGCTGGTCTAGACCAGGGGATGTGCTGGTCTAGACCAGGGGCCTCATTTATAAAAACTGCGCAGGAGTTGTCGTAAGTTTGTGCGTACGCCTAGTAGCTATGACAAGGCGTGCGCTACGCAAATTCCATATTTAGAAAACCCACCGCACGCACCAAACCACGCAATCTTTGCTTTATAGATCCCACCTGCAACTACAATTTGCGCACGTAAACCTACGTCACGTCACGCCCTCTCCACACCTCCACCTCACCATAAAAGGAGTATGTGAAGTGACTCGTGAATGAGATTTCCCTAAACATGAGCCAATAATCAGTGGGTTTGACCGAGACACGCGGGACAGAGGGAGGAGGACGCTCCACGCAGCACCACGTGATCACGACAAACACTTTATTAAAGACTTTATTAAAAGGTCAGAGGGGAGTTGACACCAACTCCCCAACCAGAGATTGGGTACGAAACCCCAATAAGTATCACACTGAAAGATAAGATCATGGCCCGAATGAACACAAGGCAACCCCGATGCCAGTTACAGAGGCTAAGTGAAGTACCATGTGAAAGTCTCCTAGACGATGTGAATGCAGCACTGACAGTGATCCCTACCACAACAATCACTGAAACCAATGAGCTGATATACACTTCAGCAGCAGTGATCCTAGATGTGTTGGGCTATAAGAGCAACCATGGGAGCCATGCGATACAATACCCACCATGGCAAAGACGGTTAGAGGCTAAAATCAAGGAGGTGCGGAGAGAAGTGAGCCAACTGTCAGAGGCCCAGAAAGGTGCAATGAAAAAGCAAGTGCCCAAGAGGTACAACCAGTTGCCCATACCTGAAGCACTTGAAACTGCCAAACAAAGGCTCCTTGGCCAGGATGGGATGGGACTCACCCTGAATGGTTAACCCAAGGGCGTACGATCCTGATCCTAAAGGATCCCTTAAAGGGTGCAGTCCCATACAACTATCGGCCAATAACCTGTCTCTCCACAACATGGAAGCTCATGTCAGGCATCATTGCGGCTAAGATAAGTGGGCACAGCACAGAAGGGTATCGGCAAAAACACCAGGGGAGCCAAACACCAACTCCTGGTTGACCGAACAGTCGCCCGCGACTGCAGAACCCGTAAGACCAACCTGTGCACTGCCTGGATTGATTACAAGAAAGCCTATATGACTCAATGCCACACACATGGATCACTGAGTGCTTGAAGCTGTACAATATCAACAGTTCATTGCGAACTCGATGCGGTTGTGGAAAACCACCCTTGAAGCCAAGGGCTTGCACATGTGTCCATCAAATGTGGCATATACCAAGGAGACTCACTGTCACTACTGTTCTGCATAGGCCTGAACCCTCTCAGCCAAATAATCGACCGCACTGGCTATGGATACCGACTCAGAAACGGGGCCACCATCAGTCACCTCCTCTACATGGATGACATCAAGCTGTACACTAAGAGTGAGCGAGACATCGACTCACTGATCCACACCACAAGGATCTACAGTACAGACATTGGGATGTCATTCGGGCTTGAGAAATGTAGCAAAGAGAGGGAAGGTAGTCCACACAGAGGGGGTGTCACTCCCAGAGGGAACAATAGCAGACGTTGAGGACAGTTACAAGTACCTTGGTATCCCACAAGCAAATGGCAACCTCGAAGAGGCAACAAGGAAAGCGGCTACGGCCAAATACCTGCAAAGAGTGAGGCAAGTCCTTAGAAGCCAGCTCAATGGCAAGAACAAGGTGCAGGCAATCAACAGCTACGCCCTGCCAGTGATCAGATACCCTGCAGGGATTGTAAGCTGGCCAAAGGAGGAGATACAGACCACAGATGTTAAGACACGAAAGCTCCTGACCATGCATGGAGGGTTCCATCCCAAATCCAGCACCCTGAGACTGTACGCAGGCCGGAAGGAAGGGGGCCGAGGACTAGTGAGTGTGGGAACCACTGTCCAGGATGAAACATCCAAGCTCCTTGAGTACATCAAGGACAAGGCCCTGGCAGATGAGGTGCTCAGAGAATGTCTCAGACAGTGGGGTCCAGAGGAAGAGGTGCTGGAGGGACCATCATGGCAGGACAAACCCCTACATGGGGCATACCACCCGAACATAACTGAAGCGGCTGATATCAAGAAATCCTACCAATGACTTTAGAGGGCTGGTCTGAAGGACAGCACAGAGGCACTGATCCTGGCTGCTCAGGAGCAGGCACTCGAGCAATAGAGGCCCAGATCTACCACACCAGACAAGACCCACGGTGTAGACTGTGCAAAGAGGCTCCTGAGACAGTCCAGCACATGCAGCAAGATGCTGGCAGGGAAAGCATACATGGAGCGACATAACCAAGTGGCGGGCATAGTGTACAGAAACATCTGTGCAGAGTACGGGCTGGAAACCCCAGGATCAAGGTGGGAAACACCTCCAAAGGTTGTGGAGAATGACCGAGCCAAGATCCTGTGGGACTTCCAGATACAGACTGACAGAATGGTGATGGCGAACCAACCAGACATAGTGGTGGTGGATAAGAAACAGAGCAGAGCCGTGGTGGTTGTCATCGCAATACCAAGCGATGGTAATATCACGAAAAAGGAACACGAGAAGCTAGAGAAATACCAGGGGCTCAAGGAAGAGCTGGAGAGAGCCTGGAAAGTAAAGGCATCAGTGGTGCCTGTGGTGATCGGAGCACTCAGGGCTGTAACCCCCAAACTGGAAGAGTGGCTTCAACAGATACCGGGAAAAACAATGGACATCTCAGTCCAGAAAAGTGCAGTACTGGGAACAGCAAAGATACTGCGCAGAACTCTCAAGCTCCCAGGCCTCTGGTAGAGGACCCGAGCTGAATGAGGGTGAGAGAGACCTACCACCGTGGAAGGTGAGAAACACATTTTTTTTAATATATATATATATATTGGATGAGATCCGTCCTGAGTACCTTAAGTCTCTGGATGTTGTGGGGCTGTCTTGGCTGACACGCCTCTTCAACATCACGTGGCGGTCGGGGACAGTACCCTTGGACTGGCAAACCGGGGTGGTGGTC